GGGATGGATGTTTTGGAGAATGCGGCACATTCTCCCTCCTGCATAGCGCGAGATGGAACAAATCGTGAAGTCCGGCTTCATGATCTTGCCGAAATCGTATCCGCTGTTCGGGTCGCCGGCGAGGTATGCCACAGGTCTTGTAGCCCCGTTTCCAGCCTCGACCTTTCTGGTAACGCTGCCCTTCGTCACGCGACCCTGCCAGCTGCCGACCGCGCTCCTCCAAGCTGGACCGGAATCCTCGCTCTTGAACCAAGCCACCATGGAAGACTGGGCGGCAGGATGATGTGGGAGAATTTCCTGCAGTCTCTGGTCAGTGGGGTTAGATCCAGCCACTTGTGAAACAGGTTCTTCGGAGGATGGAACGATGCAGAACAAAACTCTCTCAGCGAAACTCGATACATAATACTTGCATGCTCGCATTAGCTCACATTAATGTGGAGGCATGTTTGATTAACCCTACGCTTCCCCGACCATTCCTGCACGGCCTCTTTAACGTGTGACCCGCGACCCCCTCGGCCTTGCTTCGGTAGTTTGGGGGCTTGGGTTGGCTTGGGGTCTGGGTGGCCTTGACTAAGTTAGAAGGGAATTGAGAGGTCCGAGAGGTTTGGGGGCTGGCTTGGGATCTGAGTGGCTTTGGCTGAATTAGAAGGGAATTGGGGGGTTCCAGTTTGGGGGCTGGCTTGGCGTTTGGGTGGCTTTGACTGATTTAGAAGGGATTTGGGGGGGCTGGCTTGGGGTGTGGGTGGCCTTGGCTGGTTAGAAGGGAATTGAGAGGTCCGGGCTGGCTTGGGATCTGAGTGGCTTTGGCTGATTTAGAAAGGATTTGGGGGGTCCCAGTTTGGGGCTGGCTTGGCGTTTGGGTGGCTTTGGCTGATTTAGAAGGGATTTGGGGGGTCCCAGTTTGGAGGCTGGCTTGGCGTTTGGGTAGCTTTGACTGATTTAGAAGGGATTTGGGGGGGCTGGCTTGGGGTCTGGGTGGCCTTGACAAAGTTAGAAGGGAATTGAGAGGTCCGAGATGTTTGGGGGCTGGCTTGAGGTCTGGGTGCTTTGGCTGATTTAGAAGGGGATTGGGGGGTGTCTGGGTGGCCTTGACGAAGGGAGTTGAAAGGCAAGAGAGGTTTGGCTTTGGCTGAGTCCCAGTTTGGGGGCTGGCTTGGCGTTTGGGTGGCTTTGACTGATTTAAAAGGGATTCGGGTTGGTCTGGGTGGCTTTGACCAAGTTAGAAGGGAATGGGAGAGGTCCGAGAGGTTTGGGGGCTGGCTTGTGGTCTGGGTGGGTTTGGCTGATTTAGAAGGGAATTGGGACGTCCCAGTTTGGGGGCTGGCTTGGGGTCTGGGTGGCTTTGACTGATTTAGAAGGGATTGGGGGTGGCCTTGACTAAGTTAAAAGGGAATTGAGAGGTCCGAGAGGTTTGGGGGCTGGCTTGGGGTTTGGGTGGCTTTGGCTGCATTAGAAGGGAATTGGGGGGTCCTAGTTTGGGGGCTGGCTTGGCATTTGGGTGGCTGGGATTTGGGGGGTGGCTGGCTTGGGGTCTGGGTGGCAGAAGGGATTTGGGGGGTCCCAGGTTTGGGTGGTTTGACCGGTCCAGAAGCAAATGGGTGGCTTTGAATGATTTAGCAGGAAATTGGGGGGGTCCTTTTGACTTAAGGAAATTGCCAGTGGTATGGCAAAGATCGAGGATGCAGTTGGCATCCCGCTGAGTCGACAAGGGACGTTATCGAGCATGTTGAGGGTATATACTCTTTGTCATGAAATCGGCATGATGAACACCAAGATGGATTTTCAGAAAATTCAGGGCTGCCCTTTCACCTTATAGTACGGATGCTGTGCATTGAGGGTCTATGTTAGCATAGGTGTATTCAGCTTGACAAGCCGCAACTAACGGCTCTAATCCTATGCAGGTGCGACATGTTCACAACGTCGCTGAGCATGAGACGGAGACAGGTCCTACCTCGCACATGCAACATCAATTATCATGGCGTTTCAACAATACTTTTACCGCCTACCGCATCGAACCGATACCGAACCGAACCGAGCCGTACTAAAACCCAAGCACCACACCGTACCGAACCGAAGGGTGGATAGAGGAGAAGATGGGGGTGGATGGAGG